CAGACCAATTCGAGCACAGCCCGGACATTCACAGCCGTTTGGGCTTAGGACGACCAGCCGTTGCCACGTTCATCAGTAGACACGGGTGGTGACGGGACTCCATATCACGCCTTGGATCGGCCTCTTGCCAGCGTCTGCCACGCCTCAGCCGCCCCAGCACTCACGCGCCATCCCGGAACCTTAATCAATCTAGGGCCGTCTTTCCAAACCGCTTCTCCCGAGGCTAGGGAACCACCAGCAAGACACAGAGCTCGCAAGGGTGGCTGCGCCAAAAACCCCTTCACCCCGCGCCAGCTTCTTTCATCACTTTTCAGCACAACCGTTCTCTATCCCAGTCCATTCCTGAGTATCCTATTACTGTTGTGGACTGTCCAACCGTCTAGACATTTCACATTTTCGGCAAGTCACGTATTCTAGGCCACCTCAGAGCTGCCCATCTGGTCGACTCTCGCTCCCTACTTGGCGCCACCCACCCGTACACCATCACACACCAGCGGGCTTTTTGACTTTGGAATCTACATTCCACGCCTCTTCTGGCTGTAACGCAGTTACAATACCCACATGTTTGGGCAGTTTCGTCTCACTTTTGGCCTTACCGCTGGCTTCGAGTCTTCAGATCTGACGTACTCATCTGCTTGAATCTCTTCGGCAACCCTTTCACTCGATCTAATCCCCTTGTCGGGCCCAAGTGAGTGGAACGAGGCACATCGATACCTTACTCACCAAGCCGTTGCCGTGTATTTCGTTATACAATACGGCGTATTCTTCGTACTCGTCGATATTCAGGACCAATCTTCATGCCAGTTGGCGCTTCATCAGGCCCTTGAGTTCCAACTAGGCTTAGGCCAACCACAACGGCCCTCCACATTCTCAACAGCTTCCAAGTGCTTTTGAGCTCTGCCGGGATCGATTCAGACACGGAGGCCAGACAACACCACCTCACCATCTCTGTCTAGGTCTTGATTTCCCTTCCTAGCGTAGTAGCTTCCAGGAGCCCCCGCCATAACGCCAATCTTACCAGCAGATCAACAGAGCGCGAGCTGCGATACCCGCTCTCCAGTCAACCCAGTTACATTGTGGCCGTCCCAGTGCCCCACTACCGTCATCACCACCCGCAGTAAAGGCTATCGAAAGAACTGGTGTGGCTCTGGGTGACCGAGACCCTCTTCTGAGTGGAACAGTTCGCCCTTTCACTACTTCCCCCAAAACAAGGAGCGAATAATCTCCCTCCCAAGTCCGCTCACAACTACAACCACAGACCCCTCTCGACATATGCCGGGTCCGCCGTTTCTGTTCCCTTAGCCATTTTATGGAATACGTAGGTTGCCACGGACTCAAGCTACAGCTTTGAAGGAACAGTATCCATGCCCCGGATCAGATTCTACCAGCTCGCCGTCTCAAGCTCTCGATTTGATCTACCTAGCCGGGCCACCGCGTCCCTCTATCCGGGCGGCTCCTCCTTCCACAGCTCTCCGTCTTTTTACCTCAAGGAATTCATTCCCTAACAACAACTTGGCTCACTCCATCCTTTGGCTTGCTTGGACATATTCCGCCTAGTCTAGCCACCCCACCATAGCTCGCATTGCCGTCACGATTAGCGACCCACGAACTCCAAGGGATACGGATTTGCGGTCCTTCTGAGTACAGGCAGAGCATGCCAGCTCCCCCAAGGTCATCGTAGCACACGATCCACAAAATCTCACCTTCTCAGTCCCTTGCCTTCCGCCTAAAAACCACGGTATCGGCCCCTTCTAGCCGCAAGTATGGGGGACTACTATCACCATTTTCTCACCTCCATGACGGGGGTGGCAGCTAGCCAAGCTACAAGCCCGCAGGACATACATCCACCCCAATTTCCAGGCGCCCAGATGTCTATGATGGGCGGTGCCATGCCTGGGCCATATCCCAACCTTGGATATTTCACAGGCTTCCCCGACCCCGTTGGGCTTACTACCCCCAAATCCTCGAGGAACCGAAGAAAGTCGGCTTCGGGTTTAGATCACGTCAAGCACCGACGAACACGATCCGGTTGCTACATGTGTAGGAGTAGAAGAGTAAAGGTATGTCTCCGCGTCCTCTTCAAGATTGTAGCCTTCTAACTCGATGTAGTGCGATGAAAGCCGGCCAGTCTGCGATAGTATGTTTGGCCGAAGAGGTATCTGTGATTCGTATCGTTAACGTAACCATAGGGTGTCGAAAAGGTAGCCGCGAATGTATCTATCCGGAACCACCAACAACCAAAGGATCTCCAGCACAAGGCTCCTCATCCAAAGATGGAGCTCCTACTCAACAGCAGGCCAGTCCGGATTCTTCCAACGATGCTGAAGATGGAGAGGACGAGACCGAACCCGGCGGTCTAGACACCATCCTTGACGAGGACGAAGGAGAGGAAGAGTCTTTCCAGAGACAGTTTTCTGGGCCGAGTAGAAGCAGCACAGCTTCGTCATTCAACCTGCAACGTACGGGAGGTACACGGCACGGCTCCGAGACGCCATCACACGAGGGGACCAAGAGCGCCTCGCCTTCGACGTCTACCGCGAGCAGCCAAACAACTACCGCATATACGATGCCGGATCTTACGATATTATCCCTAGGTGGTCACGCCGACTGGTCCCATCTGCCCCCCGACCTCCGGCAGCATCTGGAATACTTCTGCGAAAACGTTACTCACTATCATTACTGTATGCTCACTGACGCACACGAGTTCTTCCGTGTAATTCTGCCGAATTTCGCGTTGCAGAACGAGGCTCTGTTATACGCGGTTGTGGGCTTCGCAGCGTACCAACGTACGATACAAGATCCCAATGGCAAGATGGAAGAGTTTCTGAAATACTACAATAAGAGTGTTATCCTGCTGCTCAACTCCCTGAAAAGGAAGGAGAAGCATAATATTGCTATGCTATTGACCGTCCTTCAGCTTGCCACAATCGAGGTATGGCAGTCCCCGAATTTAGATGGAAAATAAAGATGTGGCTAATCCATGATACAGGAGTACCTGGGCGACTGGATCAACCTTATGGGGCATCAGAAGGCTGCTTTCGAGATGCTGACACATTTGTTCACGCCTGAGACAGCTACGCAGACTCCTCTTGGTAGAATGATTGTGTCTTGGTACGGACGCTTCGACATCTTCATCGCTATGATGGGCGGCTTTCCCACGATGCTAGCCCCCGAGTGGTTCATTACTTTTGTAGAATACTGCGATCAGCAAGCCGTCTCGGACGAAGCAGATAGCTTGCACTGGAAACTCGAAGCGGAATCAGGTCGCCTGCGGGTTATTTCGAGAGAAATGTCTACCCTCTTCGCCCGAGGTAGCCGAGGCCAGATAACACCGGAAGATTTCGCGACGGAGCACGAACGACTGCAAAACTCGCTCCAGGGCTGGAAAGACGGATGGGATCACGCACTTACGGACCCTGCTTACTACGTCACCGACTTCAGCCACGCGGGCCCTCTGGGGGAGGACGACATTGTCGACCCGTTTATCACAGGAGTCTTGTACGATTTCCCGATATTCTCGACAACGCTACTCACCAGCGAGTTCAACTCTACCATGATGATGCACAAGTGTCAGTCGTCGACGACGCAGCGGGAACACCTTCACGGCGAGCTTAGAGGTTATGCATACGCCATCTGCCAAATTTTTGAGGCTGTCGAGAGGTGGCCGTCGAGCCCCAGGGGCAGTTTAATCCTGATCCAGGCTTGCATCGCCCTTTCGGCTTTGTTCTTACCGCAGGACGCCAAACACCACAACTGGATCCGAAAGAAGTTTGCTTTGCTAGAGACTATGGGGTACGTGGACATGCTGGCTACAACCTTCTGCCTTTTACCTCGCACACGACAGGACAGGCACACTGACGTTTGACGAAACCCTACACAGATATATACACCCGATATCACTCCGCACCAAGATGGCTGAAATGTTCCACGAGCCCAGCTGCGTGCGCTGGTGGCTGCCCAACGACGAGGGCTACAGCCGTATCCTCCAGGACGTACGGACCTTTGCCGATGAACGCAATGCCAATGCCGCAACCGCCCAGGCGGAGAACCTTCGAGAAGTCAGACACATTTTTGCAAAGATGCAAATGACGGAGGAGAATGCAACCCAGGCTGCATAGATCTTGGAACCCAGATGTTCTGGGGGGGAAGGGGGAAAAGAGGGAAGGGAATCGAGAACATGGGAGGGAAAAGTTGGAGCGATAAAAACAAAAAAGGTGGCGGGAAGTCTTGATCGACTCGGCAAACGCCGTGGCTGAAAAGTTGTACGGCATACGATGCACATTATGGAAGATGGATTGGGAGGATCGGGGCTCGTTGGGAGCTCGTTAGAAGCGGACGTTACGGTGAAAACGACGGGGGAAACGTTCGAGCATGGACGGATCAAAACAAAGCGGCGGCATTTTTTTTTTCTTCATTCCCCCTTCTATCTAGAGGGCTACATCTATAAACCCATAGAGGCCATGCCATACCCAGGCAATGGCCACACGCATTTTGGCGTTGGGTCTTTTTCTGTTCCATTTCTCCCTTTTCTTCCCCCCCGTCCGATTATTCGTTTTAGCAAAATTCCCCTCTGCACCCCTTGTAGGAGAATTAATGTATCATATCTTGTTTTCATTTTCTTGGACATTTTTTTTTTCGTTCTCTTTATCTCTTTCTTCATATCTTCGTCACACATATTTCTTGCTTCCACGTTAGACATAGATTCTGTGTGAGACCTGTTTTTCCCTTCCTATTTATACACACAACCTCGTGAGACGTTTTGACAAAAAAAATGACATCACGAGACTTCAAAGAGAAATCCTCCAAAAACGAAGAAGAATATTATACACATACGTGGACCTCGTCTCATTACAATAATAGAAAAAAGAAGAAAAATGGTCTACCGGTATCCTGCCCAACTCAGAACCACCACCCCCCTGGGTTTGACGGATAGGCAACAAGTCTGTAACTTGAACATTCATCAATACGCAAAGTCATTAAAACCCCCTTTTCTCCCTCTGTCATGCCTCCTTCTTACCCCCCTCGGCCTCCTCCGCCTTCTCCTCCTTTGCCTCTTGCTTCGGCTCCGTTTCCTCCGCCTTGTCGGCTTCTTCAGCCTTGCTGTCCGCATCTGCGGCATCTGTTGTCGTCGTAGTCTCGTCTACTTTGGCGGTTGACTCCTGAGCAAAGTCGTGAGTGCTGACGTCTGGAATCTCGCCAGATTCATCGTCATCCTTAGCTGCTGCATCGGGAGCCTCATCCACCGTCTTGTCATCTGCGTCTTTAGGCTCGTCGGCGCCTTCGGCTGCTGCCTCGCTTCCTGATGCAGGAACGTCCTCATCCTCCTCGAAGTTCAGATCTAGCCGCGGTTGGTTTGGGTGGGCCATACCGCCCTCGGTTTCTTCATAGACCAAAGTCGTTTCCGCATCGGATTCTGTATCAGGGTAGTCGGTTTCGACCACTTGAGGCTCTGCCGCAGCGGCCTCCTCCTTTTCTTCTGTGGGCGACGCATCTCCAATAATCTCCTTTTCAACAATCACCGGCACGTCGGCCACTTCGGGCTCCTCCTCGAGCGTCTCGGGGGCAGAGATGCGCATCTCCCGCAACTTATTTGTTACAACGTTGTCTTCCTCGTCAGCCTCCACCACTGTCGTCACAGCACTGCCAACAGAGGGACTCGCCCTGACATGACGTCTCGTAGCAGTACGGCCAACAGGCTGAAAGTTGTCGTCTTCGCTCTGTCCGAGGCTCTCACGGTGGCTGGGCTTCACAATGGACATTGGAAGCGGCTTCTTATCACCACCGTTGGCATCAGGCACCGCCGTTGCCGTCTCCAGGCCCTCGGCCTCAGGTGGGAGCTTGTAGTTCTCGGCGGGGAGGAGGTCGTACATGTCGCATACGGTCTTGAAGAAGACGTACAGTCCAGTCTGGCCCTCAATGGTCCAGAAGACAGCGCGGTGCTGGAACCAGGCGTGCGCGAAGATGCGATGCAAGCGGCGAAAGACGTTGACGAGGTTCTTGACGGCGACACCCTTGTTGTGGACGTCGGAGAGGACGACGAAGCGCGAGGGGAAGATTTTGGGGTCCGTAACGATGTTGGCGGCCCAGTCGAGCGTGTGGCAGCAGTAATCAATGGCGCAGCAGCTCTTGGGCTGCTCGTGGACGGCACAGAGGAACTGCCACTCTGACGCGCGCATCTCGGGACACGTCGCCGCGCTGCAGGGTGGGGAGTCGAAGAGGAAGCCGACAATGAGGGTGTTGCATTGCGAGATGAGGAAGCGACACAGTTCGTACAGCCAGAGAGTGCGGTCGATGCCCGGCGGGGGCGTTGCCAGCTGGATTGCGGTCGTACGGGTTATCGGGACGCTGTTGCTCTTGGTGTGGTGGTAGTGGAGGGCGGCGAGATGCTCCTGGAGCTGGAAGGCCGAGTCGAGCTGTGCAAAAGGGTTTTGTAAGCGGCAGAATCGCAAGATTAAATCTGGCTGTTCACAGGGACGTTGCTACGAACCTCATTAAGGGGGATAAGCGGCGGTCCAGCAGCCATGTCGGCGGCCTTCGTTCCCGGGTGTATGCGACGCCTCGAGTTAGCTTCAATGAGAGACTGCTCCATCGGCGAGGCTTCGCGATTCGATTGCGCACCCGTGGAAGGGGACTTGGGACCGATTTGGATCTCAGCGGGCGGGGGCGGACTGGGCAGCCGGGGCGAGCTCGGCGCCATTGCCATTGTGAAAGGAGGTGACGGAGTGGTTGTGGTGTGGGATGGTATGGTATCGGGGGGTGGTCTCCGTGATGAAGACGATGTAGGAGAGGACGAGCGACTGGAGAGTATTTTGCAACCGCGGTTCAAGAGCTGCTGTGTTCCCCCCTTTCGCCTCCAGAATTCGCGGTCACAGACTGTCGTAGATGTGTTGGTATGTCGTGGATGGGTTGTGTTGTTCTAGCTGGGCGAAAAGTCGTGGTCGGGCGGCTAATCAAGAGCTCCAGGTCACCCACATCGAATGAAAGCGCTTTGGGGGCCAGAGCTCCTGGTGCTGCCGTGTCGCTGCTGTTAACCCCGGCACACCCTGGCTCAGCTTAGTCAGGAAGTCCTCCCCGGCCACTGACGGTCGTGTGTCCTTCTTTCTATTTTTTTTTTGGGTGAGTGTGAGTGCCGGCGTGTGGGACCAGACGACGTCAAATAGGTACGTACTCCAAGCCTCGAATACTACTTCTTTCCTGCCTGGGAACTTTCTTCGCTTGATAAGTCAGTTGAAGGGCGTATTCTTCACTGAGAACTCTCTCAACTCTACAGCTTTTTTCCAAGACCAAAGAAATTCAGTCACTTGCAAGGCACTCGCTGCTTTCTTCCTTCGCCTCTTAAGCTGCAAAGAATTGGTCTGAGCTCTCTCGCAGGGTTCCCCTCCATCCTAGCATGGATTTCGACGATGATGCCCCGCCTGATCTGGTAGAGGCCGGAACCGTTGTTGAGGATGATCTGCCACCATCGGAGAGCCAGATCAAGGTCCCGATCACCATCGTAACGGGTTACCTCGGTGCTGGGAAGACGACGCTGCTCAACTACATCTTGACGGCGCAACATGGAAAGAAGATTGCCGTGATTATGAACGGTAAGCCGATCGCATGATCAAATGTGTAGCGGGGCATTATACTGATGTTATTCGCAGAGTTTGGCGACTGTTGGTTTCCTCGGATGTAACCACCCACTTGAACCCACTGACGCTTTTCAGCTCTCGATATCGAAAAGTCGCTCACTGTCAACAAAGGTGACGAGCAAGTTGAGGAGTGGCTTGAAGTCGGCAACGGCTGCATATGCTGCTCTGTAAAGTAGGAACACCCCATCAACTGATCGCATTTGTATTAACACGCTCAGGGACACTGGTGTCAACGCCATCGAGTCGCTCATGGAGAAGAAGGGCGCGTTCGATTACATTTTGCTAGAGACCACAGGTCTTGCGGACCCTGGCAACCTTGCGCCCCTGTTCTGGGTCGACGATGGCCTAGGAAGCACAATCTACTTGGACGGTATCGTGACTCTGGTAGATGCGAAGAACATTCTTCGCAGCCTTGATGACCCCGCCGGCAAGATTGAGATCGACGAAGATCACAAAGAGGATGACGGCCATAGTCACGGTCCGCTCATGACGACGGCTCACGTCCAGATCTCACATGCTGATGTCATCGTCATCAATAAGTCGGATCTGGTTTCCGAAGAAGAGTTAGGGCAGATCAGATCGAGGATAGAGTCTATCAATGGACTCGCCAAGATACACGTCACCAAGCAGAGCGAGGTGCCGAAATTGGAGGGGTTCTTGCTGGATTTGCATGCCTATGACCAGGTCACGGAGCTCGATACCAGCCAAAAGGGCCACAGCCATCTAGATTCGGTGAGTGATTCCACGAAAGTCGCAGCATTTCTCTTTTGCTGATAAAGTGTAGACCATTTCGACCGTCTCGATACCAGTGCCAAAGTTGGCACCCTCACAACTGGAGAAGATCGATTGGTGGTTGAGAAAGATCCTCTGGGACCGTAAGCTTCCTGGGGACGAAAAGACGACGCTTGAGGTCCATCGGTCAAAGGGTCGGCTCGTCTTTGACAACGGCGATATCAAACTCATCCAGGGCGTGAGGGAGATATTCGAGATTCTTGACTCGCCTGACCAATCGCGCGAGGCTACGCAAGCTCAGGGAGGTAAGGTCATTCTCATTGGAAGGCATCTCAAGGGCGTCGACTTCGAGAAGAGCTTGGTGGATACAATCAACTCGAGCATATGAATAGAACTTCTGAGACACGATGCGTTGTTCTGGGCGCGTGATCATTGAGACATCGACTGCAAGGCGTGCAGAAAATAGCTTTCAGAGACGGCAGCGCAAGTGACTTTGTAGCAAGAGAGCGAGTGCCTCGGCTGGTGGAAAGCATCAAGCCAATGCATGCTGGAAGCTGCCATCTCATGTGTTGAGAGGGACATGATGTCAAAAAAAGGCCTCAGGTGAATGTACGGCAGTAGCGCGTGTTCGCACTGATGCAGGGGTTTTTTGGAGGGGCTCTGGGCGCACAGGCCATCGGATCCATCTTTGACCGGTCCTCCGCGCGTTAGTGTTGGCTGGGCTTCGACGTCTGTACACTGTACACCAGGAATCCGCATAGAGCTTCCTTCGTGTGTGCAAGCTTCGAGCCAGAATAATCTTTCGAGCCACCTCGACCACGAACGCATCCTAATTGACCCCCGAACTCCCCGCGACGACGAACCATACGACGCGACTCCCGAAAGCGACCGTACACTCCCCGAGCCTTCATCATGAATCGACCAGGTAGGCCTGACCCTCTAGTCGTCCCCTTTCAGCCTCGGGGTACCCCGCCGTTTGCATGTCCATCAAGGCCACTTGGATCTCGTCGCACCTCTCAATTGTGGTCGCCGCGCCTCTATATTGTCGAGAAACCTTGAGGAGCATCGAAACCATGCACGCGAAACGTCACGCCGCCGATGATACTCTCAGTAGATCGTTGCCAGTGTTAGCGCCGACATGTAGCCCTCACCCTCGAGATCCAGCGCTGATACACCTCGACGTAAACACGGCCTTTGGATGGACAATAATGGACCCCTCGTACACACGCTACTCTTGAAGATGATGGCCTCGAGCCTCGCTACTCTTAAGCGACACTATGCAAGACCTCCAAGCTGACAATGGGCGCAACCAGTAGGAGTAGCTCCTCAATCACTGCGTGGCATACCGGCAGGTTTTGGTGGCCAACAGCAGCAGCAACAACAACAGCAACAACAACAAGCTGGGAGGGCAGTATCAAACAGGTTACCAAATGGGAAAATAGGTAGGAACACTCAGCTCTGTCTCCATATGTGTGGTGTGATTGGGTACAAAGGCGGTGCCTGTGGGAAGACCTGATGTTAACGTGGAATATTTTGGAATATACAGGCAGTAATGGATCTGGCTGGGCATTTGGAGGAGGAGTACCCATGGGAGGTGCTGGCTTGCCAAATCAAGCCCGTCAACTTGGAGGAAATGTGAGCTTTGCACAGAGCTTAAGCGGGTCGCAACCGGCAACGCCGCTGGACCTTTCGTACGTTCTTTCCTCTTTCCTCTCTCACCGGCTACCCTGCACATCCACCTACCGCTTTCCCCACGATCACCACCCAAAGTAGTAGCACCAGCCGCATTCCGAGCTTCACGGCCAGCCGCACTTTGGTCTTTCTACTTTTCTCAGGTCTCTCTAGCTCTTGTCTCTTCTCTTCCTTTCATCATGGGCAAAAGGCAACGTCTTGTCCGAAAGAAAGCAGCGAGACAAGAAAAGATGGATAAAGCATCGTCTTCTTCGCCTCGCGAGAAGCCCAAAAAGGGCTACGCGGATGTCCTAAAGACGTATTTTTATCTTCCCCTTCCTCTCCTTCCTCATCACTGCGTCTGGCGCGATCGCGGGCGACTGCTTCACCCATCATTTCTAGCACTGATAGTGGTACTGACTTCTGAAGTAGCGAATTTCCATCTCTCTCCAACAACGCCCAGATGAACACCACCGGTCAGTCAAACATGTGGTCATCAACAGCGTCGCGGAATCTGGGTGCTGGCCCAGTGCCGCGCAACCAGCAGTCGACGCCACTGTCGGCTCAGAGCGGCCAGGATGAGCTCTTCCCGCCAACTTCGGCTCGCCAAGGCGCCTTTCGCTTCGGTGGTCAGAGCAGCGCAGGTCCGGCGCCTCAAGCCCAGTCTAATCCTGTGGACGATTTTCCGCCCTTGAACAGAAACTCGAACGGCGAAATCGGTGGTGAGCGAAGTGCTAACCTAATGCCCTCTTTGGGTTTTGGTGGCAGCCAGGCGAGCGGCTCAACCGCCGCGATACCTCCTGCCCGAAGCGCAGGTGCCGGCAACGGTCTTCTCAATGCGCTCTCCGCGAATAGCAGAACTTCAGATGGTCGCTCACCTTCCATCGCTAGCGTGCAAGGTATATCGAACCCACCTCATCGGACGACAACACACTCACTGGCGCGATATAGATCAAGCAAGAATACAAGAGGCATCCGTCGAAAGAGGCAACTCTTTCTCTGAAGAGAATGGTGGCGACAGCGCTTCTCAGTCCGCAGAGACCAGAAACCCCCCCGGCGCCATTGGCAACGACGCAGTCACAGGCAATGGCAAGGCCAAAGAGGAGAAGGAAGGCCAATCGCCCGACGTGCAGGACCCTCTGGCGGGAATGGCGCCCATTGACAAATTCGGCATGAAGGGTTTACGTGTTCTCATGAACAACTACCCCAGCTATGGCGCCCTGATGCAGGGAATGGATCCCAACGAGTTCGGACTCAACGTCAACTCACCAGAGTAAGCCCTCTGACTTTTTACAAAGAAACACCTACTGACCATGACAGTCTCATCTCTACGCAGATTTACTCTCTCTTCGACGACACGCCTCCGCGTCCCGCGATTCCCAGCGTCCGGCTTCCTGAGTGTTACAAGGTGACCAATGTGCAACCGATTGAGACCAAGATCCCGTCATTCAACGAGGAGACCCTATTCTGGATCTTCTACAGCTGTACACAGGACGTCAAGCAACAATTGGCTGCGGTTGAGTTGTATGTATTTCTTACACCCAAGGTGGCCACTGCTAACAACCTTGCAGGCACAGCCGAAACTGGCGTTGGCACAAGAAGCTGCATTTCTGGTTGACTAAGGACGAGCTCATGATGCCCGCTAGCCTTGGTCCCCACCATGAACGCG